CTTGTTTTAAAAAAAAGATTCGCAAAAGAATAAACCTTGTTTTATATTTTGTTTAAGTTGGAGTCTAAATGAAGAAAATTATTTATAGTGTTGTTATATGATTAATCAAATATTACATCAAACAGTAACTTGTTACTACTTGAAGCATTACTAGCTAAGGTGTTACGATCTAAAGTGATACTACCCGAGGCATTACGACTCGAAGTGCTATTGTACAATACATCATAGTACAAAACAAAAGCTTTACACTCTAAATTAATACATAAGAATTATTTTTTTTAAGAAATAATTCTTATGCAGGGGGCAACATATAGATAATCGATTGTGGTTAATACTTATTCTCTAAAGAATTATTTTATAATATAATATTGTACAGAGAATAATAAAAACAACTATTATAAGTGAAGTGCTACTTCACATAAAACAACTAAAACAAGTGAAGTATTACTTCACACGAAATAATTAGAATAAGTGGAATACTACTTTGCACAAAATAACTACTTCATATGGATGATTGTAAAAGTAACTTGAAATAAGTAATAAAGTTCATGGATTACTTTCATCTTGAAATGTTTCAAAAAATTTAGCTTAATGGTTCAAATTTAAAAATAGTTAAGAGGTTTTCTTCTTAACATTTTCTTAAAGTACTAGTGTTTCTCTCTTTTACCTATTTTTCTTGTACTTGTTTTCGTATACTTTCTTTTTTTAACATGTTCTTGTATATCTTTTCATATATACCTCTTCTTTATTACTCGACAATAAGTTTTATTACACTAAATTATTTCAATAATCACATATTGAGTTTTTAACTATTACTCATTATGTGCAATAAAATCATCATTTTAATATCCATATAATGAATTATAGTAACGGTTATTTACATTAAAACTTATCATAATAATGCCATTCATTATGCATATTAAAACCAATTCTTGAGTGATCGTCACCTTTGACACTATATATAAAACCATTACAATTCATTTGAGGGATTTCACTTTTTAAGATTACCTTACTCTCACTCATAGCTTCTCGATCTCTCTAGCCCTTTTATGCATTCTCTACCTATGCTTTTCCATCTACTACGACACTTAAAATTTCAAGAATTGCTCTTATCTTCTTCTCCACTGCCTCTCGTATATTTTTTACTTGTTTACAACATTTTCTCTTCCTATCACACGAACCTCCTTTATACATTCAAAACAGATTTTATTTTGTTTTCTGTGTATGCCAAAAAATATTTTATAGGAAGCACTAAAGCATTATGTGATTAATACTATATTAGTAATTACCAACAGTCAGCACAATTAAACAAATAAAAGTTAGTGAGGCATGAAAGTTGAAGCTTTCATTCAGGTAAGTGTTGGTACCCAGTAGAGCCTGCAGCCATTGAAGTGGACAATGGGCAGATGAGGGCCATTGCTGGAAATTTAAATGCGTGTCTTTTCCTTGGCTACGCACGGAATGCTTACAAGCTAGCAACGTTTAACGAAGCGATTTGTTCATTCAACTACTCATTCGATGTGTGTGTTTCATGCGCCAAAGTTTATTTGTGAGTAGGAGAGTTGAATATACATCTCGTATCTGCAACGGAGAAGGAATATTTGAACTCCAAAGAAATTTCATGACAGATATTATGTTGTGATTTTTTGATTCTTACTCTTCCAATTCTAAACAACATTCCTAGCAACTTTAATATGCATGTGGTCAACTAGAAAGTGAGATTTGAAAATGGATGACTATAAAACAAGTAGGTAATTATGTTAAAACAAATCAATGTCTTTCTGCAAAAGAAAGAGATTATTACTAGAGCAGTTTTGATTGCTTATACAGCAATTAATCCTTGATTAAATTGAAGGATTCCAAGGCTCCCATTTGAACATGAATAAAGGAAAGCTAATTTTCGACCAGTTTTTGCCATCAGAATCCATTCATTATCATTTACAAATCACAATTGACCCCATGTTTGCTGCAACAGTGAAAAACTTTCCAGGAATCCGGCCACATTCTATGCCATCAGATGGAGTAAGATTACATTTTGTCCTCTCCTATTCACTGTAATTGTCTCATACGCATTAATCATGCTGGACTCTAAATAAAATTTTCTTGTCCTAGTCCAGAATAAACTACTAAGTAAAATTTGGCCACCAGAGAAAGCAGGCAAAAACAAAGAAGAAAGAAACAGTGTTTAATTTTGTTCACATGAATGGATATTTATATTGTAAGCTTGCCCTTTAATCTTCATGTGGACCCAAACAGTGTTCTGTTGCGATTGTCAGGTCTTCCTCTGGAGGGTCCCAACCCCAAACTACAGAAAATGGAGGAAGCAAGAAAGAAAGCGACTTTGCATAGGCGCTTGAGGTCAAAGACTTCATCCTTGATAACGTCCTTTAGTTCAAATACGGCTTAGGTTTAATTGGCAGTATACGGATGGTGCAGGAAACCAGAAACGAAGGCTCAGCCACTCGTCCTGAGCCTGAGGGAATGGTAGAATCTCAATCACGCACTTCCTGCGAGGAAACTAGACCTCCCAAATAACTCAAATAAGGTTTTTAACTTTTTGGTCCCCCACGACTTATTCAGGATATTCCCGCTCAACTTGCTACGTCGAGAAGACTTTCCTACTGATGTTGAAGTATCTTACTTGTGGTGGAAACTCGAAAGGCACGCCGGCCATGACATGATTTGGCAGATTGCATGTATCTTATTGGTGTGTGCATATGATTAGCACGTTTCAGATTTGCCTATATTCTGCAAAACCAATGACCTTCTGACACTGTATAAGCTCTTAAGCAGGCCAAAAGAAAGAATTTGCAATTTAATTGCATTATTGTGGTACCCATTTGTTACTGAAGAATCATTTAAAATAAAACTAAAGCGGGGAATGACAGAAAAAGGAACACCATGAAAAAGTAGTCTGACCTGGGTTCGGTTTGTAGCTATATGAAGAATTTCAAAGCTGGCATATTCCGTTGAGATTCTCGACTGGTATTTAGTTTGGAGCAAAGTGATGGCTCGCTGGCTAGAGCACTCCAGGAGGGGCACATGGTTTGATGTGCAGGTTTTTGGACAACGGTTTTTTGAGAGCGGCTGTTTGCTATTTCAATTATTTGAGATTGAAGAGGTGCCCGAACGCCGTGCAAATCTGAAAGACATTACACGTGTAAAAGCTTTTATATTCAGGAAAAAGAACATCTCAAATCAGTTCAACTCAAATAATTATTCCGTAAAACTAGTGCAACAGCAGAATTCCAGCGTTCACATGTGAGAAGAATCCCAAATATGGAGTTAGAGTAATTTTAAAAAGAAATCAAATAGAAAGAGATATTAAATAGTTAAAAAAATTTATATATAATTTAAGTATTTTTTAGGTAAAAAATAAATAAAATTTAAAAAAATTAGATATATAAAAAAATATATTTTAATAATAATGATAATGTCGTGTATATATATATATATATATATATAACTAAATAAAACTATAAAAAGAATCTTTCTCAAACTTTACGCATAAAAATAAAAAAAAAAATTTTTTCAAATTCAAATGAATTGCCTCTTTACTTTGTGTATTTTAACTCTCTTTTTATTTTTTATTTGTCTCTTAAATTATTAATTAACATATTAAGTTATTGAATTGAATTATTGATATATTATATATTATAATAGGTTATAAGATTGGATTGTTAATATATAATATGTTATAATAAATTTAGATTTATATTAAAACTTAATGAGCTCATATTAGTATACACACTTTTATTTTTTTCTTAAATTTCAAAAACTTAACATATTAATTTAGAATTTATTTGTTGTTAACTAGTAATATGCTAATCATAATGGCTCTAACTTTATCAAACTGTTTGAATAATAAAACTAATTATTAAATAAAAATTATTTTGAGAATCATTAAACATATATATAATAAATAAAATTATATTGAAAAAATATAATTATTTTATTTTATCAATTTTTATGTATATCTCTGTTCCTTAAAATTTGTAATATACATGTTAGAATACATTGGTTATTCTAAATAAAAAATAATATATTGATGAAATTCTAAACAATAGTGTAATATTATAATTTATATTTTAAAATTATATAATAATTTATTTATTTTTAAAAAATAAAATTCACATAATAAAAAAAAACATGATAAGTATAAAATAAAATTCACACCCAAACATTTGATTTATTAGTTGATGTATTATCTTTTTAAAAAGTAAAGTTCGAATTTTTTTTTTAATTATAAAAAAATATAAAATAGAATCCATGTATGAAAAATATATATATATATGATTGATGATTCATAAAAATTTATAAAAATAAAAAAAGTAAATAAAAATAATAATTATATAAATTAAGAAAACTTTAAAAAGTAAGTCAAGTATATGAAATTATTTTATTATTTTTAACTTATATTAATTATTAAATAAAAAATTATTTTGAGAGATCATTAAAAAAATTTATAAAAGTTTATTTAGTATATAAAAAAATTTTAAATTTTGGGAACCCATCCTATAAAGAGGCTCCGCCCCTGATCCTAATGAAGCTGAGCGGCAGGGTACCCAGGTCAAGAAAGGCGGGGCGTCGTAATTCTCAATAATCCTGTTACTCTCAATCTGTTGAGGAATAGGCAAATCTATCTTGCGGAGAGCGGCTTCCCCAATCTCAGCTGGTTTTAGTTGTAAAAGACAATGGTTGAGCTTCTATTCACACAACCATATCACGCTCAATTGATCCAAACAAAACAAGCATTCTTGCATTCAGGTTAAGGTACCACCTCATATGAAAAGCTTCTACTCGATCTCCATCTTGAAAGAACGACAGGAGACTGAAATTACAAAGCTCTATCACAGAAACGTCATAAGCACAAGAATTTTACCCTATGAATTGGGAGGGCATCAAGTGAACGTGAGCGTCAAAGCAGAAAATGCAAATTTGACTGGTAAAAACCCAAAAATGTAAAAGGATCAATTGCAAAAATGCACAATTAGATTTGATTACAGCCAGAAACATTGCAACCCAAAGGTATATATATATCCAACCAACCAGTTTTTTGTTACAATATATAGCCATAAAGTCCTAACTAAAATGCGCATCACCAAAAGAAAAAAGGGCATAACATCAATCCAACTGTCTCAGATGAAAACTGGGGGAAAAGGAGACTGATATTATAAAAAAAGAAAAAGAAACTAGATAATATTCACCCCTGCATCCAGAATTTCCCATATTGCAAAAATCTTCTCAATGGCTTCAGACCTGCAAAACGTAGGCGAACATAAGAAAACAGAAAAAGGGAACTTAAAGTGCAATTTTTTCAAAACATGCATACTTCAGTCTAGAATCTTGCTGCAACCTACTGTAAGAGAAAGAGAAACACAGAATGTACAACACAACAAACATCCAACTGTTTGACCATTCAGTTAAAACTTATCCTTCAAGGATGTATAGATTAAGTAAAATGACCCACAAAGATATTGGTGCAAAATCCATTCTTACCTTGTTAGCTATGTTGTTTGAAAGCCAGTCCAGACCCTCATAAAGCCCCTCACCAGAGGTTGCACAGGTGCTCTGGATGTACCTGAAAAGACCACCAAGGCCAATTAGAGGTCATGAACAAGAAGATTGCAAATTACAGGAGGAAAACACAAGGATAAAGCTTACCAGTGACGCTGTCGAAGGGAATGGAGACCAAGCTTATCAGTAATTTCTGCAGCATTCATTGCATTTGGAAGATCCTGCTTGTTTGCAAATACAAGCAAAACTGCATCTCGCAGCTCATCCTGAAAACAAGGAGTAGTATACTTGTTAACCATGAAAATCCCGTAAAACTTAACCAAGGACAGAAGATTCAACTCATGCTCCTAAGTTTACCCTCAATCTTTTAGTATCTATCCCTTTTACTTGATAACTTTGTTATCCTCATGGACTCTAGATGCCAAAAATCATTAATTTAACATACAAGATGCTTTGAGAACATTAAACTACTTTTTGGTCAATAAATATTTAGAAGAAAACCAGCAGCATAAATAAGCAAACAATTTTCGTTGAATTTAATCATTAGCTTATAAAACTTAAAATTTTATATGCTCAATTATTTCTTTGGATTCACACATCTATCAACACCAATTTGCTTGTGTATGGCTACTAAATCTAATTGCATTTGAAGCCAGCAATGATATCATCCAAAGCACTTATAACAGCAAAGGAATACATGCATAAACAATGACCATAAGAACACTGGTAGTTTCACTTAAAAGTAACTACCCACCTCATTCAACATTCTATGCAATTCATCCCTAGCCTCAACAACACGGTCTCTGTCGTTGCTGTCAACCACAAAGATGAGACCCTGCGTATTCTGGAAGTAATGCCTCCACAAGGGACGAATCTGCACAATTAAGAATGAAAAACTAGGAAGTTGTTATTTAGCTGTTCCTTGAATATCAGAATATGTAAAGACCCATAAACTAATATTGTGTCAGAAATTATATGGTTACTTACAATGTTTCTGATATAACAAGGCTAAACATCAAAGTAAAAAGCTCATACCTTGTCCTGACCACCAACATCCCACACGGTGAAACTGATGTTCTTATATTCCAGAGTCTCCACATTAAAACCTGAAAAGAAAAACACATGACTAGTTAACCATGATAAACCTGAGCATGAATCTACACATCACAAACATGAACTAATCAATGTAGTAAGCAAATCACAATATGCAATACTTGCATTACAGTCTGTTGACTAGACATCACATGTCTCAAAGATTGTTCATCATCTTGGATCTAGAAATCATAGGTGTAAGTTGGTTGCATTCATGTTTTATACACAGTGCTCTCCAGTTCCAACATCTCAAATATACAAAACAATAAAATAGAAAGGATCTCATTGGACTCACATGCTCAACTTTCCAAATAATCCTATAATGAAAATCTACTATCTATAATGCAACTAAAGTTCCACAGGACCAAGAAAGTTAAATTCTAATATTCAAAAACAACATAAAGACAGAACAGACATGGTTTGCCAACTAATTTTGTCCGTTGACTACACGACAAAGACATTGTATAAATAAATTGCAAGCAGCTCATAACAATAGAAAGAATTATCACAGTTCTAATACACAATTAGACATAATCACCAAAAGCAGAAATTAAAATAAAAAAAATGATTTCGAATAAAAGCGCTTACCAATGGTGGGAATTGTGGTGACAATCTCTCCAAGCTTGAGCTTGTATAAGATGGTAGTCTTACCAGCTGCATCAAGACCAACCATCAAAATTCGCATCTCTTTCTTGGCAAAAAGCCGGCTGAAAAGCTTCGTGAATGTCAGCCCCATTTCTCTTCCCTAGCTGTTGATCCCTAAATATTCGAATTCACAAATATTATTTCCAAATAATCCGAAACGAATAACTCAATTCTACCATTTCCCAAATTTCAACGAATCAAATAGATCTGAAGGTACAGGTGCTAAAATCAATGCCAGGACGGCATTTCCATAAAATTCCTTTTGAGTGTTCGAATAAAATCACACACAAACAAAGGTAAACGACAGATCTAGAATAATTCATCACAAAATTCTTCAGATCAGAAAGACAACCAACAAGATTTCTCAAAATTTGACTCGCAAGCCATGAAACGACTACCAAGCAGCGAAATCAAGACACGAATCGTTCTAAACCAACGAAATTTAAACGATGATGAAAGCCGTTCAATGCCTCGCGTCTCAAGCAAATAGAGGATCTGTGAAGCGCATTGAATCGGTTTCTTTATATTTCTCGCTTGCGAGATCGAAAAGCAAAAATAGGAATAGAGATTTGAATTATTTTACCTTTTGGAGATAATCGCAGAGGGATCTGTGAGAGGAAAGCGCGAGAGATTTTGATTTTGAACCAAACGGGAGAAGATAGTCAAGAGAGAATTTCGAGAAATGAAAGCTTGAGACCAACGCGGAACATGGGGTGAGTAATGCCAATTTGGATGACTTATAAAGGGAAGGAGGCAAGGAGCGGGCCGCGGGGTGCACCACACCAGATACTTTTCCCGATCCTTTCACCGAAAATAACCAAATTGCCCCCGCATAAAGTTTAGCCGTTAGGTTCCAATCAGTCATGGGCACGTCACAGTCACTGTTGTTCACAAAATGCGTGCGATCTCAGGTTCCTCTGACAACGAGCTTTGACCTCTGTCATGCTCAAATACATAAATTTTAATTTAATAAATAAATTAATCATTTCAAAATTTATTATCAAAAATGATTTAAGAAAACAATTAAAAAACATTGACATGAAATATATAATTAAATTATTGTTTAATTTTTTAATATAGTAAAAAAATTCATTATTAATATTAGCCAATCTTGTTATTGCATTACAATTTAATACAAACAAATCTATCACCTAATAATGCATGGTGAAATATTTAAAAACATGAGTTGATATTATCTAAAAGAAGGTAAAATCCAAGAACATGCATGAATATGCCTGCCTCGTTATTTTGAAGTGAGTGGCCATCATTTTAGTTAAAAAAAGGAAAATATATTATTTTTGTTAATGTTTCTTTCATAACTGTATAAAAATAAAAAAGATTATTAAATGCATAATTACAGTAATCAATTTAAAAAAAAAGTTTTTGATTATTAGGTGAATAGTTCAATAATTGAATAAACGGTTAAACTGTATATTTAATTTTTTATTAAACATATATATATAATATGCTATTATATATTTAAATAATAAAATTTTAAGAATATTTACAAACATTTGAGGGATGTTGATTTAATATAATTTTTTGACTATGCATCAACCCGAGTCAAAATCCGGTTAAACATATGAGTTAATAACAAAACCCAAAAAGCTTGCGAATTTGACCAAGTTTGACCAGTTCAATAAGTTGGATTAACGATTTGGTTCAATTTTAATAACTATAGTTAAATGCACATATATATGGCGACAAGGTAATAACATATATGTACGCTGCAGACCTTAATCATGGGTTCGTGCTTTACGCTCCTAGGAAACTGCGGCGACATCACAATAAGCAAGCAATCTTGTAAATCTATCCCCTGCCTTAAAAAGGTGCAAGAGATAATGAAGCATAAAACATGTGTTAATGGGTTTATGCAGTTAAGTTCACAGTTGCACTGATCTGGTAGAAGGCTTCTAAAGATTCAAAACCACAACACCAAGCCATATTCATATCGTTTCATTTGCGGAGACAAACATGTAAATATTAATTAATAAGGGAAAGAAAAGTGAACACAAGTAAATAATTAATAGATACGCCCTTATGTACAGTGAATAACACACCAATGGAATATCTTCCAAGCCCACGTCTCGGAGTGAGGAGCATCTGAAAGGTAGGGCATCCTGGGGACACAATTACTTTCACAGTTTGCTGCCATGCAGGAGGTGATCTACGTGGGAATCATCATACACAAAGCTGGTTGAAACGAAACCATGCAGTACACCTACCCATGCGGCTCAAACCTATATATCTAATGACACGGCCAGAAAAAGAATATATTTACTATCATTCACAACTGCAGATCAGGTTTACATCCTCAATAGCCGTCGCAAAGAGCCTTGTTATAAAATCCAGAGTATTGTCTAAAAGAGCACAACGGCTGTTGGAAAACCTATCAGATCTTGTGAGTGGTTTTTGGCCCAGCAGCTTCATCTACTGTGGAATATGTTTGCCATTACACCCAAAACCTCAAAATATTGAAGGGTTTGAGTCCAAGTGGGGAGAGAGTCCAGGGGAGGCAAGCTAAATATACCATTGACCATTGTATTTACAAAAGGCAGTGAACATCCCAAACTCGTTTATGAGGATCAGCGCCAGTATTGAGCCCACCGATGAATAGTCTCAACCATTTGAGGAAACAAGGCACTAACGCTCTCATTAATAAGATCCTGGAAGAAGTGTATGCAGGCCTCATCATCCAAGTCCAACCGAAACTTCTCCTGGAGCTGTATTGCCAACAGAATTGGTCATAACAGGGGGAAAATAAAGTCATGTTCCAGCATGATCATCAGATTTGAAACATTAAGAAAACTCACCTTAAGGATGCCTTTTTCAGGGTCACATGCTATGTCAGGAATGTTGGAACCGGCCATAAGATGGAAAAGATTTAAAATAAGGTTACTAGATTTGCGGAGAATGTTGTATGCTTCACAACAATAGGATTTGAACCTTGTATAGTACTGGCTGCAAAATGAAATACTAATCAACCATCCCATTTATGCATATTAATGTCACAGCACAACATTTAAGTTACCTTGGTCATGACCAAGTATGGGCATGTATAAATCTAATAGAGCTTATCCAGCAAGAAATAGGAAAAAAAAGGGTTGAACAAAATTTGTAAAAGGAGGAACCAGAATACCTCTCTGCTCCACCCATAGCTTCAACCATTTCTTTGCAAAGTTTCATTGGTGGCGGAAATGGTTTAGGATCTCGGCCAAGAATAAAACCAAAATCAACATGGAAAAGGCGTCCATCATCCCTAAGCAGAAGATTGTCGAGGTGTCTGTAACCCATAAGGATTTGTCTTCAGTAATTAAAAACCACATGACAAAATCCATGGCTAATATTAGATGCCAATCTGTATTTTTTGTACAAAAATGGCAATTTGCATATGAGTTATTTATTTATTATAAATAATAAAAGATCACCTGTCTCCAATTCCCAGTATATATGTGATAACAGAGTAGCCAGCACAGCTTTTTATAAAGGTTTCAAGACAGACGGCTGTAATTCCAAATGGTCCATGTTCATCAGGATGAAATTTCTGCAGATAGCTTATAATGCTACGATGCTCTGAAATAATCTGCATATGGAAAGAAGCAAATATCCAAAAAGTGCTTAGCAAGATCACAAGCAATATGAACACATATTATGGAAAACTTACAAGTAAAAACATCAAGGCCAAGTATTAATAATTCATAGAGGCTATGCCTATGGAAAATCTATAGAGTACGCATATGTGTCCAGAGTGCTTCATCAACAAGAAGAACAAAAACGAAGCTTTGCAGCTAAACTTGAAAACAAAACAAAATTATTTACTGCTATATGCTGCGACTAAAACTCCCTCAATGGAGAAGCATCTTTTATAGGATATGATACCTGTGCCAAAGAACGGGATGGTATGAATTCCAACATGCCCTCATCTTGTCCAGTTGCCAGCACCTTATATGGAGTTAAGTGCAGGTCAAGGTTTTCCAACTTTAGTAATCTATCCATAAGAGATACCATTTGAATAACCTAAAGGAACCACATCAGTTACATTAACCACATGAAGAATTGCAACCACCTCTTCCGATCTTTCTATTAAGATTTTGTTAATGCAACATAATTTTGTCAATTACCAATTGGTCTTGCCGAATATCATCACCCTTCTTAAAAATGACCTTGCATTGTCCACCATTAGCAGTTCGGAAAGTCAGTCGCAAAGGATGCAGTGCGCTTTTGAATATTGACGACTCTGAAGGCACAATTCCAGTGATAAGGACATTTGGAGCCAGGGGCGACCGAATTGGCTGAAAACATGATTGAAAGCCAAACTTGGTAAAACTCAGCAGACATTTGTTCAAATAAGTCTTTGAAGGTTATAAAATATGGAACTTCGTGTCAAAAGAAATACCTCATCAAAATAAGTAAGTTCACTAAGAAGACCAGAAAGAAGCTGTCTAAGCTTTTCAATTTTCTTCTGTGTATTGCCACGCACATTTCTCACATCTCTCATTATAGAACACAACTGGGCTGTCAATTCTGTCTGACGTACTAAACTCTGCCACATCTTAAATCCATCTTCTTCTCCATTTATACCAGCTGTCAACTGTGACAACATAACTGATTAACTAAACCGCGGAAAGAAAAATCAAGTTATTCAGTGCTGCAAATCATAAGGTGGAAATAATAATGCTAAGGTTGGTGCATTAACAGCACCAGTGATCTAGTGGTAGAATAGTACCCTGCCACAGTACAGACCCGGGTTCGATTAAAAAAAATAAAAAAAAAAAACTTGCACTCTTCAAAATGTAAATTAGAGACCAATCATTTGTCATGATGGTACAAAAAATTCTCATTCCTAAACAGAAAAGCAGACGGAAATAAAGCGGCAATAGAAAATTGGAACTCATACCTTCATCATATTTTCTTCTAGGAACTCATAGGTAGAATAAAACCGTTTAGCATAGGCAGGATCATGAAGTTCCACAGCAACAAACCAGCGTAGAAAACTAGCCAATTCAATATTACGTAAAGCTGTAAAAATTCAAGAATACTTTCAGATGCTACCAACCCATAGAGAGTATTGTTGTTTGTGAATCTTTTTAACATGAGATAAAAATCCAATTTAATTACATCAACAGAAAATTTAATTTACTTAAGTAAATGGTAAATGGACCTTTTTTATCTCAAGAAAATAAAATATATTGTAATTTTTATGGATCACTCCCAACCAAACATAATTCCATAGTTAATTACATCACAAAATGACAACCTGCAATTAAAGATTAGAGCAAAATAAAAGAATCAAACTAAACAAATGAAGAACATTTGACACATGTCATTTGAATGGAATTATAATTTTTATTGCTCTTGAGGAATTGAGTACCAAAGAAATAATCAAGAGGTGAAAACCTTGATACAGGGAATCACAAGAAAAGACTAAACTTACTTCTCCTTCTACCTGTAATTGTCCATTGAAAAGGACAAGATACAGCTAGAGAGAGAAAGGAGAGCAAAAGAGAGGTTTGGCGAAAACAGAGAAACATTCAACTTTTGTTTTTTTATTTTTTTAAAAAAAAGTGAGAAGCATTCAACTTAAGGGTTTTGAGACGGAAGACAGTTCTTCCAAAGACATTTGTTGAGAATTAATAGAGAGAAAGAAAGGTGAGTCTTGGAATTTGTAACAAGGAGAAAGGAAAAGAAATAGCATAGCTTTGCAAAAACAGTGTCAACAAGTGTACTAAAAAAATTCAG